AAGCCTTTCCGGTATTGCAGAGATATGGGCAGGAATATTCACCAATCATCCTACTTTTTTATTACTAGATTCGAAAAAATTAATAGTAACTAGTTAATGCTTCAGTTTTGCAATGCTTTTTTCCTTCCAGTTATAAATTCAAGAAAAAATTAATAGTTATCTTATATAGTGTTAACTAAAAATATCTGGCTTCGAGAAGGCGGGATCAAAAAGTGATATGTACTCTACATATATAATAATTAATTAATTAAAGAAAAAAATTTATAAGTAAGTAATAGTGTGACAGTTAGAGATAACTAATATACCAAATATCTGATGCTTACCCAGAATATATAGAAGAATTTAGTATAGAAATAGCTGATTTCAATCCAATTAGACCTATTGCCTATATACCTTTGCCTGAAACTTTGCCAAAACGTAATAATGGAATTATAAATATTCAAAATAATGATGACTAGTGTTTTGGATGGAGTGTTCTAGGAGCTTTACATCCAGTTAAAGTTCATCCAGAGAGAAATCCACATCGGCTATATAGAGATTTCGTGGGGGAACTTAGAATGGATGATATTTCAATTCCGGTACCAGTCTCATCACTAGTTTATAAGAAGTTTGAAGAAAATAACCCAGAGATTAGCCTTTGCATTTATGAATGGCATAACCAAAATGAATGTCTTGAATTTCACTATGTTTCAGAGAGAAGAGGAGAAGAATATAAGCAAGTAAATCTTCTAGTAATTACGGAAGAAGAAAGAAGCCATTACTGCATAATCAAAGATTTACATAAGCTAGTATATAATCATAGCAAGTATAAAGGGTGAAAATATATCTGCCGATATTGTCTTCATGTATATTCAGTAGAAAAAGGATTTAAGGAGCACTTACCAAAATGCAAAGGCCTAAATAACGCTTCCCAGAGACCGCAAATGCCGATAAAAAATAAGAGTGTCAAAGCTTTCTATAATCATAAATGCATACAACCAAATCCATATCGCATTTTCTGGGATCTAGAAATGTTAACCGAAAAGTTAACTCCAGAAGAGAAAACGAAGCTAACCCATACTGAAAGATTACAGATGCACAAGCCGTGTGGCTATTGTTACATAGTTGTTCGCATAGATAGTTCGCTAAACTATGAAATCATGAGTTATGATTTATATAGAGAACCTAATACGCTTGAAAGATTTGTCACAAAAATTGAGGAGGAACTTCTAGCTATTCAGGAAGATTTATCTGCACCAGCTGAAATAATTATGGCGCCAGGAGACTTAGAGGCATACAATGAAGCAACCGAGTGTTGGATTTGTAAGAAGCCTTTTTTCAAACCATTACACGAAACATTAGAAAAATTCGAAGAAGCAAAGCATGGATTGCTAGAACTCAAAGAATGGGAAGCAAATATGGGGGAAGAGCATCCAGAAAAGAAAAAAATACAGAAAGAATATCGTGAAGCTCTAAGTGCTCTTAACTGTAAAGTAAAAGACCATGACCATATAAGTGGTAAGTATCGAGGCCCAGCTCATGACTCATGTAACAAAAAGTTGTGAATAGGATCTTTTGAAACTAAAGTACCCCTTATTTGCCATAATTTTCAAGGATATGATTCTCATCCACTTATAAAAGTTGTAAGCAAGTTCATGGCTGATAAGTTAAAATGTATCTCAGAAAATATTGGAAAGTATAAGGCCATGGATGTTGGTCAACTTCGATTTCTTGACAGCTTCCAACATATGGGAATGAGACTTGATAAATTAGTTGAATGTCTAGGTAGAAAGCTTGAAAAATTCACCTTAACTGTCAAACATTTTACTGAAAAAGGTTATTCAATAGAAAAGATTGAACTTCTTTTCCGAAAAGGAGTATTTCCATATGATTGGACAAATTCATGGGATTAATTTTACAGAACAAAGCTCCCACCAAGAAAGAATTTCTATTCAATTCTTAGCCAGCAAAATATAAGTAAAGGAGATTATGAATATGTACAAAAAATATGGCAGGAATTCGAGATAAAGAATTTTGGAGAATATCATGACTTATATCTTGAAACAGATGTACTTTTACTTGCAGATGTTTTCATAAACTACACTATTATGTGCTTGAAAGATGATGGCTTAGATCCTTCCCATTATGTCTCAGCACCTGGAATGTTTAATGATTCTTTATACAAAAGTAGTGGAGCTGAACTTAAGCTCATGACAAATATGGACGAATACTTGATAGTTGAGAATGGCATTCGAGGAGGGATAACAATGGCAAGTTACTGATATGCTAAAGCGAATAATCCTAAATGTCCTGACTATGATCCTAGCAAGCCAAAGTCTTGGGTACTATATGAGGATATGAATGCTTTATATTCAGGTGCAATGATGCAATATATGCCCACAGAAATATTAGAAAAGGTAGGTCCAAAGAAAGTTCCGGATATTCGAAGTATTGCACCTGATGCAGAAATAGGTTATACACTTGAAGTTGATCTAGAAGTTCCAGTGCATTTGCACAATTTCTTTGCAGACTATCCGTTAGCGCCTGAAAAGCAGATAGTTCCAGAAGATTGGCTTAGCTTGTATAATGAAAGATTAGTCTATGATAAAGAAGTCGGGGGTGGAAAATACATGTCCGGAGAGAAGTTAGTTCAGACCCTTTTTACTAAGAAGAATTATGTAGTTCACTATCGAGCTCTCCAGACATATATAAAGTTCAGAATGAAGGTTACAAAGATTCATAGCGCTCTCAAGTTCAGGCAGTCTCCATGGATGAAAGACTATATTGAGGAAAACATTCGCAAGCGTAAAATTGCTAAAGCTAATAGGGATGAATTTGGGGTTATGTATTATAAGCTAAAAAACAATGTGGTCTTTGGCAAACAAATAGAAAATGTTCATAAACATATGAGAGTAGAATTACTCCGAACAGAAGAGGATAAAAAAATTAGGCGCCTAGCAAGTTCACCATTATATGTAGGCTTTAAAGCATTTGAAGGGGGTATCACAGCAGTCCACATGTTAAAAGGCACAGTAACTCTAAATAAACCAATCTATGTAGGGCAGGCAATTCTCGACATTAGCAAGGCCATGATGTATAACTTTTGGTATGGATACATAAAGCCTCGCTATGGAGATAAGGCCCGTCTACTTTATACAGATACAGACTCACTCATCATGTGGATAAAAACTGAGGATATCTATAAAGATCAAGCAGAAAAACCAGACATTTTCGATCTTAACTATTCAGGAGACTTGTTTCTAATGAAGGATGAGACAAAAGGGGATCCAATAGGTGAATTAGTATGCTTAAAGCCAAAAATGTATTCAGTTCTTCCAGCAGGTCATGATTCTAAAACTCCTGATGACCCAGATTCTGAAGACCCTAAAAAGAAGCATGGCATTCAGAAGGCAAAGGGTATTAAGAAATGCGTGGTCAAAAGGGAGCTTCGATATGACAAATTTCTAGAATGTCTTAGGAACAAGAAATTAACCCGACATGATATGTATGGTCTCTGCAGTTACGATCATCAAATTTACCTCGAGAGGGTAAATAAAATTGGGTTAAATTCATATGATAATAAACGCTGGATATTGCTTGATGGAATCCGAACCCTCCCATATGGACATTGGCAAATTGGAATATATAAACGCCTAGTAGCATCTGAAATAGTTCCCGAGAAAGAGCTATGAAAGCTAGACTTCATTTCAAGGAATAGATGCTTTATAACAAATATTTTTTGGATAAAAAAATTATTAAAGAATGCTATAACTAATTATAAAAGTTTTTTTAATGTTATATTAGAAACATACAAAGCCTTAGTTAATAAAATCCACGCGTTAAACATGCCTAATATTCAAGATATTTTTGAGGAATGGAAAAAAAATAGTTATACCTGATACATGTTAACCGAATATGGTTTAAACTATATCAATAATCTAAAAACACCAGAAGCTTGGTTATAATTTGCGAAGTATCATCCACCCAAATATATATATAAACATTTATTTATTCCTGGATATGAAATTAATAGTAAGGATTATTGAAAAAATTTTATATTTCGCGTAAAAAATAATCTAACCAGAAATGAAACCATAGCTAATAATTTTAAATTTAAAGAATTTAAAACCCAAGTAGCTTTGTATAAAGAAAATCAATCAGCAACCATTATTCAGTGAGTATATCGTTTATGGAAAAATCAAATAAATTCGGCTAAAATAATTCAGCATGCAGTGAGGAAATGGCTTTATCGACCAGGTGGCACATTAATGAAACGTGCCCAAGATCGGTATTATCAAAATGCTAGGTAATTCAGAAAATTTTTTGCTGATCCACAATGTGTGTACTCCTGTGTAACAAAAAGAATATAAATTAGCTAACTTGTTCTAAACATGGGCATTGATTGGTATTAGCTAAATTTTTTACGAAAACTTCGTGCAATTGTTGAGAAGAAAGCTTCGGAAATAATGGAAGCCCCTCCCTAGTAAAATAAAATATTTTTACTCCCCTATCAATGAATTTCTATATTAATATACTTGGAACATCTTCTAGGAAACCATGGAATTTCTCAAATTTTCGGAGATATACTCTTGCATTTTTATCAGCTTCTTGATTAGAATAACTGACAATACTGAGCTTTTCCTGAATTGCTATTATATCCTCTTCCAAATATATAAGCAAATTAAATATTTCTCTAAATGAGATATCCATAGAAGCTTTATTGCTTCGAAGTGCCTCTTCTAGAATAGAATTGCCATCAATGCTGAGATTATCCCATATTGGTAATATTTCTATTATTAAATCTATCAACAATTCATACAAATTAACAAGTGTTTTTCCTTCGAGCACAGGCTCTATATGCACTGCTGTTTGATTTACATTACCACTATTACCAAGCTTTTCCTGAATAGCTACTATATCCTTCTTTTTATATAAAAGCACTCCATAAAATTGATTAAGTATTTCACAAGAAATATTATTAGCATTACTCATCATGGTTGCTATAATAAAATAATATATTTAATATGAAAATTTTTGAGTCTTACCAATAATGAATCCTATTTATCTCTTTGGTAACTCCTAGAAGAATTATTAAGTAAATCAATTAGACTCACATTAACTGAATTATGTGAATTCTTTTTTCGAATCTAGAGGTAGCCAACCACCTTCCTGTATGGAAATATGTGCTTCAGATTAATAAATCAATTACTATAAAAAATAATAATAATTATCATGTTATGTTTTTGCTCAAACTTTCTAGCATATTCTCAGTAACATATACATAGTATTTGGCCTATATATCGAAGTTACTATAGAAGTTTCTGTAATATAAGGGATGATATGTTAGCCTTGCTACTTCTACTAATAAAATGGAATAATTTTGTTAATGATCGATGATATGCGATTTACCTCTAAATATAATTGGAGTGGTAAAATTAAATCCAGCATCTAACCAAAATCGAGTAATATTACACAAGTCAGGTTCTAGATAGGATCGTGTATCATTCTAATGTTATTCAGAAATTGATCATCAATTATATGAAAATTTATTGCAGAGCAAATGACCCTTCGGGTCTATATATTAATCAGATCTTGATGTGACAGTTATCATTATAATTGTAAATATTTATCTGATTTACTAGCTTTAATAAATATCGCATACCTTGATTTATGTTACCCAGACCGCGTATTGTTAAGTCTTTAGAATCAGATCTTCTTTTTTAACATCTGAATCTTATACTCATATTCAATAATGATGCAATAAATAACGTAATTAACATTTTCCAGTATGTTCTGGCCTTTACCAACAGAGACAACGAATCAGATTTATTGCAAAACAATGCCACTTATATGTCCAGTCATGAAATCTTGTATAAAAGGGATCCAAAAATCTTTAGTCAATCCTTCTACGCTCTTATTAGTAATATCTATAAAAATAAAAAATAAACATTTAATAAACTTTAACATCTTGCACGTTAACTTTAAGATAATAAAAATATTTTTTAAACATAGTTGTCTCGCTAATAAACCCACTCATATCACCTGTTTCACACAAATTAAGGTTGATTTTTATTTGCATATGTGCTAGGTTACTCCACATTCGCGTATCTATAGTAACGATTTTTTTTCCGTTAATAGATGACTTCGATCAATATTTCGGAAATTGCACTATTTTTGGTCTTTGTGTGTCTAATGATATTCGCCGAGAAAATCACCATCCACCTGATTTTCGTTGCCACGTGCTTCGCCATGTACCTCATCAAACAGCAACTTACCGCGGAAATTAATTCTAAAATCACCAATGAACTCACCGCACGCCTATTTGAAATTAATTCTTCTTCTACTGCAGAGCTCGGCAAAATTAATACCGAACTTAATGATAAACTTACCGCAGAAATCAAAAAAATTAATTCACGTGATGTTGGCTACGCCTCTGAGGCACAGAAACTTTTCAATGACATGCCACAAGAATTAATAATATTGAGGAAGCATGCTATAATAATTTTGCCTCAGTTAATGCTTCTATTGAAGCTCTTCAAAACGGATTAATTCAACATTATGCAATTATCAGAAGAAATCAGCCAATCGAAGCCGACCAACAAAGTGTATCTAATCATTCCGAAGCATTAAAAAGACAACTGTACAAGGGTTTTATGAAAGAAATATAAAGAAAAAAGATGGTCCCGGCTGAAATTAGTACCTAACCAAAGTTAGTCAATTAACTCATGCCCACATATATTTTTGAACCTTATCTGGCCTAAATGCGCACAATGTATGCATGTACGACGGATATCAAGTCTTCATGATTCTAACCTTACATGGTTCTATAACTTGTGATGTATATATTTACGTTTTCAGAAAATTCTCTGCATGCCCCAACTTCTATCGTAGAAATTTTCGATGTAAGAGTGCATGTTTTTGCTTCTGTCTAACCTATATAACATTTCGAGTTTCAGGGAAGAAAAAAACATATAAAAGGGCAGTATCTCGAAATTATGGTTATTTGTCGCTTTACAGTGATTTCATTTTTTTATAACTGCGATCTTAGTTGTTTCTAAACTACTTCTTTAGTATGCCCGCCGATTTACAAACTAAAATTTCCAATTTTTTGATGAGCGAAGAAGTCTTATAACCACTACTTCGGTTATTTACCAAGGAATAGAAGAGGAGCCTTGGATTTCGGAAGATGAGTTACGATCTATTGTAGACCAAGCAGTACGGATTGCTAGCAATTTTTGCGAGGATGGTTCTTTACGCCAGTCAAAACTTCTTCGAATACTTCCAGAGGTTCGTTATTGACAAAGGCAATTGATTTGTGATTAAACTTTTCTATAAAAATGATGATATTATGTGGTCCATCTTTAAAGACAGATGCTGAAACCAGCGTAATTATCCCATTAATTTGCTCACGGTAAACACTTACTCTCAATAGAGGGATGTTTAAGCTATAGACTGTTATGCAGTAGTGTAGTTCATTCTAGAAACCTATTGATGAGAAAAATTTACCGCCTGCAGGGAATTACGTTGTTTAGGGCAAGTCCTAACTACAATGTAGTTATTTTAGTACCACACAGAGTTTCATTTAAAGTGATGGCCACACCTAAATGAAAACTTTGCATATGTACTGATATATAATGTATTTTTTTAATGATGTGTTTTTTTATATAACTGAAACTAATACATTATATTTTTTTAGTTTGGAATTGCTTTTGAAGGAGTTTGTAGTTTACGAGATCTCGGAGCTGTTAAAATAAATAAAGAGAAACCACTCAACTTGGATCAGATTAAGGATAATATAGAAAAACTAGAAGGCAAACTTAATAGAGATTCGAGCTCCCTCTATAAACGTTTATATTCCGACGTGGTTAAGAAACCTGTTGAAGAATTATCCTGGAAGGATCCTTTGGCAAGCCAAGTTATTAGCGATGAATCAGATATAGTGAAGAATCTTCCTAGGGATATCAAAAAAGGATTTAATGTAAGGAATTTCATATAGGTGTTCGCATTTTTCATCATTATTAATAATGTATATTTCATTTTAGAAAATTTCTCGCAATATGGTACCAGCTCAAAGGCCAATAGTTCAGGAGCTATGTAGAGAGTTTATAGAAGATTTTAGAAGGTGTGATGAGAAATTAAAGCCTAAATGGACGCATAATAAATCTTGGAAAGAGTCCGAAGAAACTACTTCATGTGTTGTTAAAGAAATTTTGAGCATTCTAAAAAATATTTGGAATAACCCGGCATTCAAGCCTGAAGTCGCAAAAACATTAAATGAAGGAACGTATCAATCAACCGTGATTGTACCGTTAATCCAAGTTGCCTTAAAAAATCTTCCCGTAGGAGATTCATTTTTTATCAGTACATCAGAAAAACAAAGTATTGCTAGCGCAAATCGAAAAGGGGAGGGGGGTAGGGGAAGGCGCCCAGATATTATGTTTCTAGGAGATCACCTTGAAACGACATTCGAACTTATGTATGTCGAATGCTCCCGCCTATTCTGTAGTCCACAAAAAAAGACAGATGATGAAATAAAATTATGGCGGGAGGTAAATGATGGCCTTTATTGGGTACGCCAAAGCCTCAATCCGGATAAAGAACAGTTTGGTATTGTAGGTGTTCAAGTAGCGGGGAATATATTTCACTTGAATGTTCTTGTTCGAGATAAAGTTAATGTACATAGATACTATCATCTCCAACCCGTTGAAATTCCTGTACAATTTTCAGCTGAAGGAGTTGTATCTAGATTTATAGAAACTTTATTAGTTTTGCGCAATATTTTAATTACTAACTTATCTTTATTATATCATGCACCGGTATCTACATCAGAACGGCAAAAAGAAGACTTTTCAACTGTAGACACCAACATAGAATAATTTTTATTTATCTTGTAATTTGGTTTATTTTATTTTTATATCAATAAAGTTGGCTCCGGTTGCTCGATTTCCTATACATAATCAGTTTAATTTTGCATATGTATTTTGAGTGAATTTATTGTATTGATATCGATGTATAACTCGTATATAATTGTGAATTTTTCTTGGCAAAGTGATCCGCGTTCCGAAATGGAACCTACTTCCTGGCTTCGAGTGATAAAATCACGAGAAGGCGGTTCGCAAATTATATAAAAAAAAATCTCGTAAAAATAAAAAATTAGGAGCCCAGCGCACTCCTTCTTTATTTCATAATAATTGTTGTCGAATGGCATACAAATAAGAAAAATAAAATATATATGTTTTAGAGAGGATGAATTAATTGTACTTTTGCTCTAAAATTTCCTGGGCCACTTCAGGAGGATATTTATCATATTCATCATTATTTATACTCCATTCTGCACGTTCTGGAGTAACGAAATAGAGGGGATTTTTTTCAAGAATATCTTCTTCGGGATCATGGTCCAGATCATCTAAATTAATGCAATAAATTGAGAATTTTCAGTTTTACTAAAAGTTACCCTAGCACACTTAATTGCCTTTACTTTAGCAGGATTTTACTTACCAAAACTATCTCTTCTATTTCTGCGTTGATGATTGGAATTAGGTGTTCTTTGGCTAGATCTTGGATTAGGCGGTGTTGGGGTGTAATAGAAGTTCTTGGAAGTATTATTATCATTGGTCTTGGAGGTGTTATTATCATTGGTCTTGGAGGCGTTATTATCATTAGTCTTGGGGGTGTTATTATCGTTGGCCTTGGGGGTGGTGACTTTTTTATTACTGCTCATTCTTCGCTTCTAAATAAAAAAAATATAAAAAGTAAAAATTCGGTTTCATAATCTCCGCTAAATAAAATATTACATTACTTTAAAAAATAATTATAGTCAGGTAAAAATATATACGAGTAAAAAAAAATATTATAACCCACCCAACAAGAAACAAAAAACTTGCTTATTTATACCGTCTATTCGTTAGATCTAAAAAACCTACCAGAAAAAAAGTTACATGATTAGTAATTGCGGTAGGGTAATGCAATCTAGATCCCACCATGTAAAGCAAGTCTATTCAGTCATAAGTCCCAAATGCTGACTCTATTTTGCCATTTTTTTAGTTGAAATTTGACCCCCTAGATTTGCTGATCGTTTAGAGTAGGCTAGATCTTGGAGATTGCGGAGATTCGAAGTCCCTGTAACATATGAATTTAGATAAAACTACTGATAAATAACATTGTACTCTTCCCTCTTATAGCCCTTTTAAGCCCCATTCATCTCTTTTCTTATCATAAGATCGTGTATAATAAAGCTTTTAGTCGTTATTCGTTTAGTAGCTGTTAACAAAAATCGACTGTGAGAGCAGGAGAGTGACACCGCATAAAATTTAATGCAGGCCGTTGATTGTTAAAGCCGGTCAAGGTTTTATCGCTCATTCGAACTGATAAACCTGAATATCAAGTGATCGCTATTAAATAAAAACAGACCCGCGGGACCGTTAAGTCATATGATAGCACAGATTAATATCGAAATAAGTCACTAACGACTGTGAAGTTATTTTTGACGATAAAAATCAAATTTGGTAAAAAAATGTGATGCTAGATGTTTAATCAACATCGTTTGTTATACTGGTAATAGTTATTATAACAGTTATTCTAAATTTGTAGATCTGGCTCAAATATAAAACATATCAAATTATTAAAGTACCCCGTGTAGCCAAATGTGCTCTAAACCCGTTCTAATCCCAAATATAGATATTATAGATAGTTTTGCGACGATTTTTTATCAAACTTCTGGAATGTACAAATATTTATGGCTTGTTTGGTTAAAAACAAACATACCATTGTCTGCATCAAAATTTATCGTATACATATTATCCTAACCAAATATAGCAAACCACATTCCTTGAGCACTATACATGAGGCTTAAACAAGTATCGGTATATATAAATCCTTTTTCTACCTGAAAATTTTTTCAAATTCACCATTTCTACATTAGTCAAGCAAAAAATTTCGTTTTCTATCTTTGAAGCGATAGGGCCTCTGACTATGTCCTAAAAAATAATATGACGTAGGGATTTGCATTAAATGGTTTAGGAACGGCATACTCCCTCCCTTGAAAGCATGTCATATATTTTTTCCATTTATTTTTTTTTTATATGCTTATAAAAACACTATTATAGAGGGCGTGATTGTCAAACTATAATTGTCTATGTAGCGAGGAGAGGAAGACCTAATGAGCTTCCCATAGTTTAGTTCACTGAGCTACGAGATGAGAAATAGTTTGAATGTATCCACCTTGAAATTTTTATTTCATATCGACACCCGCCTTCTCGCGATTTTATTACTCAATTGTGATCTCAAGAATAGCATTAGAAAAATGCTATACAACTATAAATTGAATAAATAAGTTGTATATGCTTACATGCATTGTAGCAAGTATATTATTTTATTTTGACGAAATATCTGCTGAATTTTTTAATAAGATATTTTTCAGGGTCCTGTAATGATTCTATTATATATCTCCACGGAAGGTAAACAATATTGAGCCCCCATCGTGAAATATAACCTTGTTTGTAACCTGCTGTTCTAATATTTCCTTAACAAGGTCATGTGCTTCTTTATCTAGTCGATGGCTTAACTAATATTTCTTTTTTTTTCTACCCATTCATCAAGACTAAAATAAATATATTCCTTATATGTGGCGAGTTTGGCTATATTATATGTTTTGATATAGTATTGATAAGCATTTGCTTTTTTAAGCATATCAACAAATTCATTGAAACGTAAAGCATGTTCTTCTTGCGTCAAAGGATTTATTTTTATTTAAGGAATTGAAAGTATATCTAAAAATCTCTTTCTATCAGGAGTGCTATCATTCCTCACTGCTTTCCAGACTCGTTTTGCTAATGACCCAGGCCTTTTCTTGTAACTTCTATAAGCCTGTTGAATAACTGTTGCATAGAAATTCTCAAAGCCATAATTATAATATTTAGGAATTAAGAATCCCCAGGATCGCTTCATTGATCTTTCCGAACTCTTAGGATAGTATATTAAAAATTGTTATAAATTAGAGAATCTAATCCAGAATAGACAAATCGCAATATTTTTGCCCATCTTGTATAAACCCACAGGTGGTAGATTTTACTAGATAATCTCTGGAATAGAGTAAAAAAATAAATTAATTTCTGTTATTTTTAATAAAGCATTTATAGCCCGGAAAACTCAGCGCACATATTCACAATTATTGTTTAAATTTAAAAAGTCTATACTAGTTTCCTTTCTCAAGATATCAATATATCCAATTTTGAAATAGTCGATTTTTAGCGAATTACATAGATATGGCTTGCCTGCTATTTTACACATATATCACACATATTCTGAACTTATAACAAAGTTTTCATTATCGCAATTCCAGTATTTTTTGTCAATATGGTAATATTCTGGATTTGATAACCACTTTAACATATAAGACCAACTACTATAATAAACGATTCTATAGCCTTGCTGATGTAATACTATAAAAGTAACTAAGTATGCTACATTATCTAATCGTGCTTTTAACTGATCTTTCTTCTTTTCTGCCCACTTACGTGAAGTATAATTATTATATCAACATTTCTGATGATATGCAGGTACGTCTTTAGCTAGAATTTTTCAATTAACATACCATACATATCGATCATCAGGAATTCTTATATCGTGAGGTGTTATACCTAAAAACTTCTTCTCATCAGGAATAGTATCATTCCTCACAATATTCCAAACTCGACTTGCCCATGTCTCGGGTCTCAACTTGTAAGTCCTCCAAGCCCATTGAAGAACTGTTATACTGTTAATTATGCGAACTACAATCCTTTTTTTAACTTCGTTTTTATTTGAATATTTATAATCATAATCATAATAGCTCAAGCCTTTACTGTATATAAAATAATATCTCTTATATATCTTATCAACCATATCAATGCCAAGTGATGATACTCCTCCCTCTTTTTTCATATTCTTTCGTACAGGATTAGAATGCATATTACTGGTTTCAGTAATACATTTCTTTAGGTGATCATTTGCACATTCGATTGTATTTTCGTGAATAATAACTAAGGAGTCGTATACAGTGCAATAAATGTGGAATGAGCGTCTCCCAGCATTAAATTCCTCATCTATATATACTCTTTCGATCATTTGGATAAATCTATTCTTAGAGAAGTATTTTGAGTTATATTCGAGAAGTTTTTTAAATAGACAACAAATACGAGAACACCACATTTCTGGTGTTTCATCGCTATAACTATATTGCAGATTGTTTAATGCCTGTACTACTTCAGGATTTAAACTAGAATAGTAGTTACGGTTGGTTTTAACCATTTTTTACTCTTTATAGTTTATAGCCGACTCTAGTGATTTATAGCATTTTTTAGCAATTTATAGCGTTTTTAGCGATTTTTTATCAACCTATATTAAGGAATATCGCGATTCAAATTTGTAGCCAAAAACGAAAAAAAATGTAAATATATACTTCATAGATTTTTATTTCTTTCTTACATATATTGCAAGTAAATATTAATGTATAAATTATATTACTCAATTGTGATCTCAAGAATAGCATTAGGAAAATGGTAGAGTTGTCATTGAAATTATGAATTAGCTAGATTGCTTTTTTTCTTGTGCCTCTGCCTTATCTTTATTTCCTTCTGTAGGTTTAATGGAGTATCAAACCTTAGCCGAATTGCAAGAGGATCGTCCTCGGGTCTATCTAGATCAAATACAATAAATTCACCTTTTCAGAAATAACTATTTATAACCATCGATGCATTCTTAACATCATCAGTATATCGACCGGCTATCTTGGACACATCTTGAAAACTGCCTCCAGCATTAAATATCACTAGATGGGATATATTTTCACGAATAATAATAGGGACTTTATGATACTTCTGCGTAATATATATACTTGAAATATTTCTATGACGCCCATGAGTAAAGAAAGGAATGATTTGATTTTGTATATACTCCGGGGCAACACATAAGTCTTCGAAAATGATGACAGTACTTCTTTCCGGTGAAAAAGATTTCACATTTGGTATCCTTTCGGGAGAGATGTAGCTGAATCGTATATTCTTATAATATGGGGCACTGGGATTCTTTGCAATTATTCCATACATATATTTGACGAATGCCCACTTAGGCTCATCCGGATGATAACCGCAAACTATCAAATCATCGCATCTTATATATCGGGATCCTCCTTTTTGTCTTTTGTATATATGCTCACTTTTATCGCCGAGAACAAGATTTGCAAGTAAATTAGTCTTACCTGTTCCACTTCTTCCACTGACTAACATAGTGAAAGGCCAGTTAGGCGATGCTTCATGCCCTTTCACTCGTGATGATTCGTGCTTTGTGGCCTCATCCATATCCATAAGGTAAAGTTTCATAGGTGGTAGTTCTTTCTTTTGGTTCTTTTGCATGACGGATTGGGAATCTATAACTATGATTTCTATAGACTGGATAAAAAATTTCTTTCACCCGATAATTCACTTCATTTTGTTCGTTCAAAGAACGAGAAGGTGGGGTTGGATGAAAAATATTCCTGTATATATACCAAATAATTAATATTACTATTATTGCAATAATAATTTTAATAATAGGAGGAATCTGATACTTATTATTAACTAAAGCCTCGCCAGCGCATACTGCTCCTTTTATTGTAATATCTTGAATAAATGACTCCGAGTTCTGCTTATTTGTGATAATTGGTAATGGTTCATTTTTTACGTTAGATATTTCATCTGTTGAAGACTCCTGACTAGTTAGAAAAGTATCATTTATTTCTGCTTCCATTTTATTTTTACTTTTAAAATATTTTGCAAGACTTTTAGATGAGGCATAGCCTCGAATCTCTGATTCCTCCGATGTATCTCCAGAATTCGATATGAAACTTTGTTCCTCACTCTGCGTATTTTTTTCTGTACCTCCCCTAATCATAGGATCCAATATATCCTTTGTTTTCTGCAAAGCAGGGCGTAAAGCGCCTAAATACTCAATTTCATTAATTTTTAAAGCTAATTCATCCTTTGTATTCATTAGTTCATTCTTTATATTCGTTGATTCAGATTTGAGAGATATGATTTCGGATTCTTTTTTTACTATCTCTTCCTGAGTTGAGAATGCATCCTTTTGAGCTGATTTCAACTTACCTTCTAGTATTTTTTTCATAGACCGAAGTGCTGTAATTTCCTTTGATTCATTCTGAGTTGAAGATAGTTTCGTTTCCAATATTTTTATCTTAGACTTGAGATCTTTTATCTTAATTTTAGATTCTTTAAGAGAAATATCTTTGCGAGTAATCTGGGATGTTAGAGTATCTAACTCTGAATGCAATCGTTTTACTTCATCTATAAGCTGATAGGTATGCTTAGTGAGTTTCTCTTTATCTTTATTGGATCGATTTAGATCCTGTTGCATATGCTTATTGTTTTTATCCAAGATAGAGCATTTATGAGCAAGTCGATTGCCACATTCTATAGCAATTTCACGATCATGATTTGCTTGATTAAGCAGGTTTTCAAGTTCAGTCCGACTGGGTGGGTATCGATTAGATGGTAAGTCTCCAAGTTTATTGCCTTCACCTATATCTAACAATGTATGAATTCGAGGCATATGTGTTTATTGTGAAACAATGAGTTCTGCTCTAACACTAGCTCCGCTATTATATCAATGAAAAAATAAATCGAATAAGGATTAGATATTAACCGATATATCTAATCGAATATTTACCGAAATAGAATTAGATGTTAACCGAATGATCCAGATATATCGAAATAAAATTGGATATTTACCGAACAGTCTAGATATGTATCGAAACTAGATTGAAAAACTTTCGAATTTATATCTAAACATTTTTTTTATTTTTTTATAAATAGATTATGACCCAAACCTCTGAAAAAATAGTTCGATATCTGCGATCTGATGCAACTCCTTTATCAGATGATAATATACAAGATATCATTAATGCCAGAAATTCAATGAAACGTGCATCAGAAGCTATGGCTATTAAATATAAAATATCAACAAGGCGTGTATATCAAATATGGAGGGACAATCATCCGCCAATAGATCCTAGAGAAGTAGTATCACAACCAATTAATATAGGGTCGATATCATTATTGCGGAGCAATGACCCAAAGGGTCTATCAAAAAATGTTAGTCAAAAAAATAAGATTAATAATGAAACAATGGAACTAACACAACCCAAGATGAGTCAAAGACTCAAAGCTCAGCTTCCTCAAAGTTCTACTTCCTTATGTGCAGTAAAAAAAAGAGTCTCTTCTATAGACAATACATCTAAGAGAAAATCCGATCTTGAAAAATTAATGAAAGATACTGAAAGATTAGCTCCTATATTCCCGTCTTTGCCTCAGTAAGCTGAGAGCATCTTTCTGCAAGAACTTTACCTGCGTTTAAAGCCATATCAAGCCATTCTTCAGTCTTTATAAGTCGCTTTTCAAGTGAGTCATATTTTTTTTTAAGTCTTCACCATCATGCATATCTGATGTTCGTTGCTCTGGTTCACTAACCCCTGGAGGCTTACTAAAAGTTGGGATAGTGTAAGTCTTCCCATGTAACTTCATTCGAAATTGGTTTTTACTAGGGTCAAGAACACCATGAACCTTTCGAATCCATGTCATACCTATGCATAGCATTGGCTCAGATTCACCATTATCAATACAAGCAAAATTTCCAGTAGCTGTGACGGTTTTACCATCCTTATCCTTTATACTTACTGGCACATCCGTAAACCATCCTAATGATTCGGTGATATGCTTGGAGTTCCCCTTTATAGCGAAATCAGATGGCTTATCAACTTTCCATCCGAGGGCGTTAATTGTTGCATCATTCAAGGCTCCAAACTCACTTCCATTATCTAAAAAAGATTCAGAAATAGACAAATCATTTATACTAGCATTCAGATATTGTAGAGATGAAAACCACTCATCTGATTTTGATTCTTTTTTCTGAACTATATGAGACTGACACATTTTTTGCATTGTCGGTGAAAGCTTAGACAATAGCTGATTATATGTTTTAGGGAAGTTAGTTACTAGATCAGAAGAAGGGTTAGCAGAGTTAACAGATAAGTTTTCATTTACTGATACTCGTTTTTTTTTTCAGAATCATCATACCATATATCATTTTCTTCATCATATCCACTATTTTCTTCATTAGCTAAATTTATAGGTTTAAGAGGAGTAAAATAAGACCGATTAAAATTAGATTTCGCAATATTACCTTTATGTATATTTAGTTTCTGAAATTCTTCAGTTAACTGGTTCATAGCATTTCTATTTTCATTAATTACTTCTTCTACTCTATCAATTCTAGCAGAGACGTTGCTTCGCTGTGGGCGAGATCTTTGAAAAGGTTTTATAGGATAATTTCTTTCTAAATCTTCTGTACTAAATATACCTAAATTATTTAAGTATTGTGATAAGCGATAATTTTCCATACCTTCTTCTGTTTGTAATGATGATGGTGGACCTCTTGGCTGTCTAACTGGTTCAACAGTTTGAAGAGCAGGTACTTGCGTTTGCTTAGCCATTTGAGATTCTAATTCTGTAACTTTCTTTACTAATGCCTGGTTTTCAGTTTTTTGTTGTGCTAGTGCATTCTGGATTGCTTTTTGCATATCTTCTAAAGAAATTGCATGCCCTTGCTGTTGAGAAACTGGAGCAACTAGTGGTAAAGAATAGGATACTGGATTTATACTAGGTAAGGCTTGTATTTGATTGGGAATTTGACTTAATTCCTCTGGAATCCTTCCACTCAAATTTTGTCCACGCTCTAACCACATATTTTTTAGTTCAGTGAAAAATGCGTTAATGCCTGCAGGGTTGGCGATTCTCATCCAAGTATAAAAATCACCTGTTAAATGGCTTTTAAGGAATCCCAAAACTTGCGCATCATTGTCTACTACCCCTAATAATAGTGGTCGAATTCTGGCTTCATATGTATCAGGAGTATCATAGGATTGATATCTTTCTTGAGTTAATCTTTGAATAGCTGATTGTTGATTTCCAACAGTCTCTCGCTGATATTTTGCTCTCATCCAAGCCCGTAGTGTATCTGGAGAATTTATAGCTGGATTTCCTACTACAAGACCATTATTTGCTGGTACTGGTGCATATTTTCCACCCATCATAGATTTTAAAATATTACACTTGACCGCATTGTCAAAATCTCCTGCATTTGCATTCTCA